ACCTCTAAGCCATATAATAGTTTGATAAATACTTCTTTATGAAATATACATCACGAATAAACGCATGAACTAATTTGTACTACAGCTTCGCGGTATGAGATAACAATTGTATAAAGCGATTCGCATAAATTAATTTTTTTAAATATTTTTTTTCCATGCTAAAAACTGTTTTTTTTTCATGAATTGATATAAGCCATGCTTGACTTTTATTCCTCACAAAGCTTAGTTTTTTACAACCTAAAAGGATCTGAAGGTAGAGTGCATATTTGGTTTGGTAATGTCTACAACAACCATTTGTGTTCGAACAACCCTTGAAGTTTTTCCGATGCACCACTTTATAGTGGAGCACGCACAAAAATTATGCAAAAAATCATCCAAAACTTTGATTTTTGTCATCATGTCACTGACTGATAACAGTTTGCTGTAAAAAAAATCAACTCGAATTAATTAGTTTGTGTATAAAGCACTTTTCTGTTAAACGCGTAATGATTTTTCACCGTTCATGAGCTTACTCCAACCATCGTTTTTTCTAAATATAACCAGTGCGTTTAATCTTCAACTTTTCGCTTAAGCGAATTCGCCTAAAATGGCCTGTTAAAAATTAAATCTAGTTTTCATTGGAGCGAACTGACCGATAGAAAACTTGATCATTTCGGTTTACGACATTAGTGCCCGGGTCATAATTTCCAAAGAATTTGATTCAAGAGATTAAGTACTATTGGCGATATATTTTGTGTTATTACTAAACAAAAAGAACAAACGCTGAATAAAAGTTAATAAATACCATGTTAGCATAAGGCTAACCGTTAATTTATTTGAGAGCTGATTTTCTTTAACGAGAAAATAGTGAGAAAGATCAAAAACTGAGATTTCTAAAAATTTTGAAATTCTACAAGATTGATTTGAATTTCTCCGTTTCTGAATGAAAAAATTGTTTCTGAAAAGACAAATTTCTCAGTTTAGTTGGGAAAAAATTGTTCAAAATAGATTCATGAATTAAAAATAGTTAATTTTTCTTGTAGAAGCAAAATCATGCAATTTGAAATTTTGTGTTTTTCAACGATTTTGTGTCATTTTGATGCACAAAGCAATAAAAACTTATTTAATGCTCCAGCGTTTTCAGGCCATTAGATTATTATTTTGTTAAGCTAGAGATAAATCTAAAACATTGACTACCTTCTTAATTGCTTCATCTGTGTAAATTAATCAAGTATAAAAATTTTACAAAAAATTGATAAGAAACGGATATGCCATTCAAGGCCTACGATTTGAATTATGGTTAAAACATATCGTTTTTTTTCGACGCGTTGTAAATTTCAATAACAAATAAAAACTAATTTTTCTGTTGTTTTCTCCCTAAAGTCCCTGGCTTACTTCATCCCTATGCTTTCTAGATTTTTTTGTTTTTTATCGCAAACGTTCTTTTTTTTCTCAGAAAACGTCAGGTTGAATTAAGGTTTTTATTTTTACCTATGCTCAATAGCGTGCCGAGAGGGCGAGTGATGAGTAAATAACATCACTCAAATCGGGTTGCCAATTTCGGAAAAAGGAATTATGGTTTTTTCAAATTCGCCCATGTGTGTACTAAAATTCAACAAGAATGCTCGTATCAGGGCAAAGCCCTGAATATTCCGACTGCCCGCTAAATTGCGTTTTTAAAAATTCGCGTTTTGAAACAAACCATCAAGGTATTATTCTAGCCAGCAAAGCTGCACGTTAGCCTATTGAAAGCATACTCGCTTGGCAATCCCAAGATTTCCAGATCAAAGCAGTCAACTTTTCTAAAATCGATCTGAATAAAAAAACCACACGGGCATATATATTTCTTCTTTCTTCGAAAGTCGGAACAACACGCACGAACATCAAGCTAACCATCTTATACAGCATAATTAAAACAAGTAGCGAGCCAAGGTGAGAGCTGGCGGAAAGGGTTGGTAGTGGCGGTTTTGCTTTTTCAATTCTGGATGCCAATTTTTTCTGCAGGGAACTTCTGGCATACTATGGATCAACCCTTAGAACGCCCACTAAATGCCCTCTCGTAGAACCTCTTCTTAGCAATTTAAAAGTTTTAAAAATAACTATTTTATAAAAAGCAACCGAATAATTGAATTCAATAAATTGGACTACAAATTCACGATAAGAGAGGGAATTTCTGTTAAAGGATTTGCCTAAATTAACGCTGTTAATAATCTTTTTCTTGCTGAAAGCTGTTAATTATGAGCCAATATAAGCCATAACCGAATCTGAATATTCTCCCTTATTAAATAATGTGGAGTTAGATTGTACAATTGTTTTGGTATGTTTACAACCACCATTTTTCTGTTTGAACCGCCTTTCAAGTTTTTCCAAGGGCGCGTTTTGCGCCACCATACACCAAATTTTAGAGTGGGTAGACCAAATTTTAGGATTTTATGGAGCACGCAAAAATTAAATACAAATCTTTCGAAAAACTTAATTTTATTCCTAAAAGTTCAAAACCAACAAGGTCGACGAAGTTTTTCAGAAAATAACCTTAAAAATAACTGCGTACGTTATTGACTGATGACAGTTTGCTAAAAAACACATGTTTGAAGTCAGTGTTTTGTAACATTGCAGATTCAGATCTGGACACGGGGCTTCAATAATCAGGAAGGAGTGCGTTTATATTAACTGTTAATTTCAAATAGCTCCAACAAACTTTTTTAAACCTGTTTTTTCTAAAATTGCCCGCTAAGCCAAAGCTTTTTCAAAGAGGGTATTATAGATATTAGGGTAATATAGATATATTAATTATGCGCAAGTGAAATTTAGCTTCATTTGGAGTTATTCAAGTGAAAAGCTTAGGTTGTTTCAGTTTTAAAAGAAATTAAGGTAATTGAAATTTTATCAATTTAAATTAAAGTTTAATTTCAGTTTCGTGACTAAGCTTAGCGGGCAATTTTAGTGAAAACAGGTTTAAAAAGTTTGTCAGAGCTATTTGAAAATAAAAGTTAATTTAAACGCACTCCTTCCTCACTATTGATGCACCAGGTCCAGATCTGAATCTGAACCTGGGGCATCTTTAAAACCTCTGCAACTTCAAAACCTCTGCAACTTCAAAACCTCTGCAAGGTTACAAAACACTGACTTCAAACAGGTGTTTTTTTAGCAAACTGTCATCAGTCAGTGGCGTACGCAGTCATTTTTACGGTAATTTTTGAGAAATTTCGTTGACCTTGTTGCTTTTGAACTTTTAGGAAGAAAATCACAGTTTCGAAATATTTATGTTTAATTTTTTGTAATTTTTTGCGTATTCTGAGAAATACAATTAGTGTCGTCTAAAAGTCCCACCAAAAGTGGTTGTGGTCTTAACAATGGTAGTCGTCTGATTTTCCTGACACCGTCGTAAATTAGTACCAATGGGGGGCTTTTTGAGTAGCCAGGAGCTGGAAATGCCCTCTAAAGCCGCCCTTAAACTCATCAAGTAATTTTTATTTAATTGCAAACAGCTCCGTGTAAAATAATCACTGCTGGTTGTTCAATCTTCAATCAAATTATTATCCTATCTTTGGGATGATAGAAGTTAATATGAAGGTTTTGCAATTGTCGAATCCAACTTCAGTTTTGGAACGAGCGTACCTTCAAACTCACTTAAGTCTACGAGCTTCTCCTGACTGTCATAAAAGTTGTCCCAAGGTTTATAAATTGGATATGGCAGAATGGGAGAAATTCGGCCAGATTTTGTAAGAGCAGAAAAGTTCAAATGACTGAACTTGTGATGGATGATCGGCACTTAATAAAGAGGAAATCCTAACTATATTATGTGCAGTGGAGACCTTGTTTTGTGCGGCAAAATAAAATTGATTTGAAAATTTCTACCGCATGGATTGGTTTCTGCCCAAATTCTAAGCCGCGTCACTGGGATAGAACATTTGGCGAAATAAACAAAACAGCTGCAAAATGAAAACTGTTCAACTAGTTTTTGAAACGTTTTGGCTAAAAGTTTACGTTTTTTTGACATGTATACAGGCGCTGATCTAGGAATTTCTCGAGGGGGGGGGGGGGGGGGGGGGGTTCGTCGGATTTTCAAAAAAGTTTTGAAATTTTTGTCGATGTTTTTAGGTCGACTAAATTGATTTTTGAGCTCTCCCCAAACACTATACAGACCCAAAATTGACCAAAATTTCTGATTTTTGAAAACAGGCCAAAAAAGTTGTTTTCAGGCACTTTTTGGAAAATTTCGACCAAAAAATCGCAAAAATGGGTATCTCAGAATAGTACAAAGGGGGACCCTTTGGGTCGGCAGGGGGTCAAATCCCTGAAGAAAGGCAAACGCTCCCCCCTCCCCCCCAAATCCGCTACTGTATGTATATTATCTTACATCTGTAGTACATAATCATTAAATATTGGCATTAGAGGCGCCTTTAGAAAGTTTTCAAGCTTGATATCTGCAAAGGGTGTATCGAATTAATTACAAAGGGAGGTACCTTAAAAACATTTGGCAACCAAATCATTTGACAAACAACCCCTCCCTTCCGTTTACCTCGCATGCTACTTCCCCTAGAAGTAAAACTCTGTTCAATCAGTTTGACTATAGTTCAATGTTTTTTGAATTCTAAAAGTAAGGTCAAGACATAAACTGGCGGGCATACAGTTAATAAATTATGTCATCAGAGTTTATCAGAGTGCAACAAGTATTGACAAAAAAGACTATTAAAAGTGGTTTAAAAACTATCGCAATTTCTTTAATTGTTAAGCACAATCCCTCTCGCGATCTTGTATGTTTCGCCCTAATTATAGTGTCAGGGTTAACTCAAAGTAAATTTCAAATTTTGTACCAAACCGGTGTGTTCATTTAGTAATTTGATATTCTCGTGTCATTGGTTTTAACCGTTCGCTCTTAAAAGGAAAACCAGAAACTCAAAAGCAAACTAAATGCTTATGATTTGAAGTCAAAGTAGTATTTTTATTTATCGAATTAACAAATCATCAGGAAAGATCCATATTTGCAATTCTAATGTCAAGGCATTATAATCATCTAACTTTCAGTAGTACCCACTTGAAAATTAGAAATCAGTTGCTTGAAATCAGAAATCAGTTTGACTAAAATTCAATAAAATAGTTGTTTAAATGACTTCCGTTTGTGGAACAATCGCTGCCTTGATTTTGAGTATAGCAACCCTTCAAGGGTTAAATGCTATCCGGCAATTCGGAACTTGTCCGCAGTTTTCCCCGGTTGAAATTGTGAGAAGAGATTTGGCGGGTGATTGGTTTGCAATCAAGACTTCTGAGAGGGCGGGACGGGATGACGATGACCATACTCAGACGTGCTTGAAGACAAGTTTCAGACCCATGGCATCTGAAACAGGTTTTAAAAATTTTAATTTTGAAGTTTTGAACAAAATTATTCGTTAAAATAAAAAAATTAATTTTAAAAAAATTTAACTGTCTGTGGAATGATTTTATAAAAAAAAACATCTCAAATCACCCAGTCCCCTCCCCTAATGCCAATTTAGTTTTTTCAATTGGCCGCAATACATTTGAAAAAAGACAAAGTATCAGTCTGCTTTGATTATAAAACCTACTTTGAATAGAGCACAGAAAAGTCTGCGAGTGAAAAAAAATGGTGTGACACGAAAATCTTACAAGACCCCTCAAAAAAAATTGTGCCAACTTTTTGTTGTAACAAATTTTTTGCTCTGTTTTCGGACTTCAAGTGTGTTCGTTTGAATTTATGCGGCCAAAAAACTTCTTTTTTACAGAAATAAAAAAACATCAGAAATATTGAACTTATTCAGTTATTTTTATACGAAGTTAGAAAAAGTTGAATTTTTTTATTTCATACAACGGAAAATCAATTAATATAATATTGAAAATTGTTGTAAGTTTATCATGTAAATTACTAAATTTCTCCATCATCCTATGTGATCACAAGTTTCAGACTTTCTCATTAACAGGAATTGAGTTTGAAATCCTGTCTGCCTTCTACGACGGGGAAAACTTTCAATCCAAGTCTGTCAGGGCCAAACAAGTCTACCCCAACTCAGAGTGGAGCTCAGGCGCATTCCAGCTGAACCTTGCCGACCTTGTGGAGCCTCTGATTCCGAACTCCGGAGACCCACAAGACCCCGACTCTGAAGACTACGATGATGAGGAATCGATGTACCCCCACCCGAACTTCTTGATTCTCTATGTCGATGAGTCATTTCTTGTTGTTTCATACTGTGATCAAATTGAACCGTTAGTGAAAAACGAACAAATGTGGATTCTGTCACGTGAACAGTTTCCAAACATAGAAAAAGTCGGAAGAGTGGAGTCGAAACTATTTCACACGGAAATTGACAATTTTCAGATGTTTGAAGTTGATCAGGAAACTTGTTCATCCTCTGAAATGCGGCAAAAGTTTCCATTCAGAGCACTTTTGCGTGTTGGTGATGACCCATTTGAAAGCGACCAGGCTTATTTGAAGTATTTGACATGTCTCAATCAAGCGACAACCATGATTCAAATCGATCTCTGCGTCAACTACCTTAATATGGGCTTTTTTGGACATTGACAACATTTTGATAATCTCAACTTGAACTAAAAGCTATTAGATTGTGCCTTAAAGTCTATATTTTTGTACAGAAAGTAATTTTATATTAAAAACTAGCATTTTTCAATCCCAAAGTAAGAACACGGCTTCAATTTTAATGACCAAAAGTGAAGAGGAAAAGTGAAGAGGACAAAAGTTGCTTAAACATTTAATATGATCCAACATTAGTATGATGCAATTTGTTTTGCGAAAATTGCGACCAAAGTTATATCCCGAAAATACGTCATTATTGTTGTTCCGACTTTCGATACGAAAATAACGGAATGTTTGTGCTCAGGGTGGGTTTTTTTTTCTTCAGACAAGTTTCGACTTTTTAACTAGCCATTTTTGACGAATTTTTTTTAATATCATTCAAAAGGTAGTGTTGTCTTGAGCTTAAATTTGAAAACATATTTCACCTGTGATCATTTTTCGTAAAGTTATGAGGGTTTAAAGATTGCCATTTTGACCAATTTGGGACAATTAACGAGCGATATAATTCGCGCTATTAACGCGTAAGCGGAGATTTAATCCGTCATATAAATCGTTCCAAATTGGTTGAACGAAGCTTATTTGCCATTATTGATTTGTTACAAGGAACAAAATCTCTCTTTTTGTACATTGTATGGCGTGTGGGGGGATGATTTTCATTTAAAATTTCAAATTTTAGAAAAAAAAATTTCATTTTATTTTATTTCATTTAATTTTTTTATGTTATTACTGCTGCTCCATCAACCCTAAAAGGCAGTCGAAACATCCAGGGCTTCGCCCTGATACGAGCAGTCTTGTTCCAACTTTCGATACGAAAGTAACGGAATATTTGTGCTCGGGTGGGTTTTTTTTTCTTCAGACAAATTTCGACTTTTTAGCTAGCCATTTTTGACGGAATTTTTTTATATCATTCAAAAGGTTTTGTTATTTTGAGCTTAAATTTGAAAAGATATTTCACCGGTGATCTTTTTTCATAAAGTTGTGAGGGTTAAAAGATTGCCATTTTGGCCATTTTGACCAGTTTGGGACAATTAACGCGCGATATAATTCGCGCTATTAACGCGTAAGCGGAGATTTAATCCGTCTTATAAATCGTTCCAAATTGGTTGAACGAAGCTTATGTGCCATAATTGATTTGTTACAAGGAACGAAATCTATCTTTCTGTACTTTACATGGCGTGTGAGGGGATGATTTTCATAAAAAATTTCAAATTTTAGAGAAAAAAAGTTTCATTTCATTTTATTTCTTTTAATTTTTTATGTTATTACTGCTGCTCCATATACCTTAAAAGGCAGTCGGAACATTCAGGGCTTCGCCCTGATACGAGCAGTCTTGTTTTTTTAGAATTACGCGGAAACAACCAAGTTAATTAATGAAAAGAAAACTAAAAATTTGTTTAGCAGAATATACTTTTGCTAGATAGCCAAAAAGTATCATTGTATAAGTCTATGTAAAAGTAAAAAAAATATTGCTCAAAAACAAATATCAAAAGTTTTGCGCAAAGTTTTGGAGATTTTACCTTTCTCGAAAAAAACTGTTGGTCTAAATAGGAAGCTTACCGCAAGGTATTTTTATTTTTTTAACTAACAAGGTAGCTTAAGCGTAGTTTTTGATTAATTAAAAACGCCAAAGAACGACTAATTTTTGGGGTAAAATTTTAGTTGCGATTTTCGCAAAAGAAATTGCATTATAAAGTTTTTTGTAAAAATCTGAACAATTTTTGTACTTTTGGTTTAACATTAAAGCAATTTGAGGAAAACGCTTTTAAAGATCTCAACGATTTTTGATATGTCTGTTTAATTTAAATCATCACTGTATTTCCTGGGCAGTATTTGACGAGAGAGGTTTTTCTCGAATACGGTTCTACAGCCAAATTTTAAATCAAAAACATAGTTGAACTTTAATTTGAACATACAGTGCTGATTTAAACTAACAGGACACAACGAACAAATTTTGAAATTTCAAAGGTCTTTTATTAAGATTAGACGAAAAGTGACTAGAACAAAAATTTAAATCGAATTTCACCAGACTTAAAACTTAATATGGTGCGATGTATTTTTCGAAATTCGCAGCTAAAAGTTTAACCAAACTACCGAATAAGAGTTTACAAAATTTTATCAAACGAAGCCTCTTACGCAGCCAACAAATTTAGGCAAAAGGTATGCACATTTTCATCTCGACTCTAACTCTAAAATAGTGGTAACGAACAATTGCATGATCATAGATGGCAGTCCTGATTTTGAAGCATCAACTAAGCTGCGTTTTATTGAGAATCCCAGCTAGGTGGGTTTGAAAACTGCTGAAAAAATGCCTTGTACCAAAAACCTTACTTTACAAAGCGTCACAAAACATTATATAGATATTTTTATCAAAACAATCGAGCAAAACTATGTCTCCAACATATTCGAACTCAATATGCAAAGCTAATCAAAAGAATGAGTTAGTGGATCTACTAAAGAATCTTTCCCCCCCCCCCCCCCTATTGTATCTACTAAAGAATCTCTCCCCGCCCCCTTTCTTGAAAGGGGGGGGGGGATTGTTAAGTAGATCCGAATTAGTTTCAGATGGCTACATACTCAAATTTGCCACCTTGTTGAAATCAACCGTGAAGTCCTTCTCCATCTGTCGTGGTGGATTAATTTTTTTCACGAAAATGAAAAAATTGAGTACATCTTATTTTTTACATTCCCCGAAAACTAAAAAGTCTTGATCCTGAAAATAATCTTTTATAACTTCTATAATTTAAATGATTTTTTGCTCTCATTTTTGCTAACCTTTTAAAGTTCTAGAGTCTGCTATGATTGCCAGCAGTCAATGGGACAAGCATCAAAATGTGTGGTTGCTTTGATCTGTCCAATACAGACGATGATGCTCTCAAATTGACTGAAATATATTGCTCTGATACACATGAAAAAAGCCAAGAGCAAATGAATCATTGTCTCAGTCGACCATCTATGGCGATTTTGAAGTCAACATACTGTTTCGACAAGTCAGAGTTGAAATTTGGGCTGAAAAACAGCTGAAAGTAAAAACATTTCCCAATTTTTATCAGAGCGACCTTGAAACAATACGATTCATTTGCATCTGATAAATTAATTGCTCTAATGCTGTTTCATATTCGAAAAAAAGTGCTTTTGGTCTCAGTGAAATCAGATAACAAAAAAAAAGCTTGCGATCACTCATTTTGTCTTGAGTATTCTCTGCTTAAATTCACTTTTCGGCAATGTTGAGTTACGTTACACGGATTCACTAAACCATTTTTTCATTGATTTATTGATTAGCTATCGATATTAAAAACCAACAGAAGTCATAGCAGGATTAGAGGCGCCTGAAAACGGGCTGCAAAGTTCCACGGCGTTCTTGAACTGAGATTTCATTTGGTTGTAAATGTAGTAACTTTTACATTGAATGGAATTTATTATTTGCAAACAATTTATTATTATTATTGTTTTTGAGTTATGCAAACAATTAAATTAATGTTTATTAAATTATGCAAACAATTTGTTAATATTATTATTATGATTACGATTATTTTTATTATAAGTTTGCTCCATACAGAATGCAACAAAGTTGAAACTGTTTTATAAATACATATGTGTTTTAGGTATCCCGAGATTTTTGCGTAAGGTTCTTCATTTGCATCATCATGCAAGACGGGATGATTTTTTAGAAGAAGCTTCCCTGATTAGTCTGCAATTCATAATCAGTACTGCTTCTGAAAAGTACCAGTGTTATATTCTTCTCAGTAATTTTGCAGGAGAAAAACAGAAAACCGGAAAAAAACACTGTTGCGGTACTGGAACAGCACTGGAATCGATCTCCTTTTGGTGCTTACGAGTGGTGATTAAGCATTGATTACAAATTTGAAATCTTTTGTCTTTTGTCGACAAAATTTGGACAAAATCGAAAACTTGATAACTCCCTTTATCGATAAAAAGAGCTCTTTTTTATCAGACTCTTTTTCACAAGCCGGTTTTTGCGCTTTGCGCTAGCACGTTACATCGCTTTGCGCTGAATTGCTTCAGCCTAAACATATTCTTCTCAAATTTGTCAAATAGTGTTGTTTTCAGCTTGTTGTGAGCTATCTTGGAACACGGCTTGAAAGGAACGTTAATAATTATTCAAAATCACGCCATCCGCTAGCTTGATCGATGAAGACAACAACCGGATATGGAATTTAATGGGTTTTTTAGGTGTGTACCCGGAGTGTACGAAACAGGTAGATTTTGTAGTCCCAGCTATGTCGATTGCAATGATTGGAAGCTATCGGTTTCTTTAGGAGGGTTAAAATATGTCTCCAATAGGTTCCAACCTTTATTCGTACCGCTGCACGAAGCTGCGCTTAGTGAGATTAGTTTGTAGTCACAAAATTGTTTTACACCCAAAAGTGACTACCTAAATTGTTAAAAGAGGCGAAAATTGAGGTAAGAATAGCACCTAAACCAATAGGCTTAGGACCAGAAACTAATGCCCATACTTATAAACATCGTTTTGATCTAAACGATTACCTTTGTGGTACATGGACATCATATTAGCTACTGATGATTCTAACCATTTATGTTCGTTTGTTGTTAGAAAATAAGAAAGCGAGAAAACAAGACTGCTCGTATCAAGGCAAAGCCCTGAATATTGCGACTGCCATTTTGCGACCCTGAATATTGCGATCAGTTAACGTTAAAGCGTTACAATTTGTGTCATGTGTGGAATTAATAAAACCAATTATCTGCCTCAATTCAATTTGGAACAATTTTGTTGGGAGTAATTTCATCATGGAGGGACCGCATTATGAATCAAATTAATTAGACGTTCCGACCGTTAGATTGGCCGTGTTCCTATCGTTAGATGTTTCGATCGAGTTTTGCACATAACCGATTAACCAAAGTTACCAGATTACCAGAGAATTTATTGTAGAGGGACACTAGAGTTTTGATGACCAATTTGTGCAAATATACAATAATTTTTTCATTTTATTTTTCAGTTATTAAAAATCAGTTTTAAGTTTTTCCATTACCTGACTTCGATATCGCCATATTTGAACATTCATGAATCTGC